ATTGTGTTTTGTGAAACCACGTGCGGTCCCACTGGCCTCTAGGGAAGATTTTCTGCCTTGACTTGGCCCATGTGCATGCACGCACCCCTGCAGCTGAAACGGAGATTTAGGAAATTTAATGTGTTTCTCTTTATTTGTTTAAATATTAGCAGAGATTTTCATCTAAGCATATGAGCTTTAGGAGAAAAAAACCTTAATTTAATGAGCTTCATAAATAAAATTATAACAACTGCTGACATGCTTCCAAGTATAGGCTGGATTGGTAATGGTAGCATTAATTTTCAATCTCTTTATTATCTTACTGTCTTGGCATAACTGTGTATGTCTTACCCCGTTGTTAAATTTATATTTTTATAGTAATTAAATGGTATTTTGTTGGCCTATATCTTCTTTATTGCTATTCTGATTTGAGACACTGAAAATATGACCTAGATTTCAGTTAAAAGAAGTTGTTTACTGTCTTGACCAAGGGTAAGTAATTGAGGTTAATACAATTTAACATCTTTAGAGCAACTAGAAACAAAATTCTCATTAATGACGATAATATACCATGCCTCGTTATGGTTTTTGCCAGGGCCAGTGCGTTAATAATGCCCAAGATGGTCCCTTGAAAACAGCACTTTCTTAGCTTGCACATTTTAGAAACTTAGTGTTTGTCACCTCCTTTGGTAGGCACCGAACTTGATCTAAGGCTCACTAAATCCCTTCCATGTAGATCATTATTATTATGTCTTAACGCTAGTGTTGCTTAGCTTATTTTTATGCCAGTGCAGTAACACGGTTGTTTTGCAGATCGCAGTGACAAGCAGAAAAGTTAGGCAGTTGCAACGTAGGGGTTTTCTTCTTGATGGGGCTCCTTATGGCTGTGTGCAGGCGCGTGTCTCTTGCTGCCAATTATTCCGCTATGTTTTCTTGTTCTTTCTGCAGCCTGGAACAGATAAACTTGATTTTTTTTTTATTTCTTTTAAATCATGCTCGCCCTTTATTAAAAATTCTTTGGCAATGGGTTATACGGAATCAAGGAGATTGCTTTGTCACCATCCATCTCCCCTCCCTGCCCCTGGCGGCACTGAGGGCCATTAGCGTTAATTATTTAGAGTTCCTCGTTTTGCGCACGGAGAAGGTGATCAATGTGCCAGGCTCGGTAAGTGGTTATGTACCCCCAGACTGCAGTGCTTTACCCCTTGCTTTCCAAGAGTCCAAGCTCTTCGACAATACCCTTAAAGTTGTATTCAGGGCAGTGTAAGCAGTGCTATTTAGAAAGCTGGGGAGTTTTTTCTGGGTTTTGTTTGTTTTTGCCATGCAGGGACATTCTCTCTGTAGGTACTAACTCTTTGACACAACCTACGATGTTTCTCTTCTTGCATTTTTATGCATTTCCTGCTAATTTCCAGCTCTTGTGCCTTCTGCACTGCAGACCACGCACTGTCAAAACCGCACGGGTGGCCCCTTCACCAGTGCTGCCCTAGGACTACCTGACTGCTGGATCCAGGCAGTGCACAGGCTGTCCTGCTTGGAAATGAGGCAGTTGTGGGAAGTGAAGATCTAGGGACAGTTGTTCTGTCTCTTCAGGTGCAAAGACACTCACAGATTGAAAAGTGTTGAGCAGGAGCCACAGACATTGCAAGCAATGAACAAGATTGTGCCTCTAGGTCCTGGCTGGCTCTTCAGGCGCCTTTTCTGTGTGGCTGGATTGGGCAGACACATACCAAATTGCTCCAACTTCCCCTGGAATACCTGTGAAATGCACTTGATTTGTGGTGGAGGTACAAGTGTCCGTGCTAGCTGCACTTCATGTCAAACTGAGCTGTTCTGATGGGTCAGCTGGACTCCAGCAACCTAGGGAGAGGTCTTCCCTGAGAGCCAACCTCGGACCATTTTGCCACTAACTCTCTGCCACTAACATGTCTCTATGGAGTTGGACTTGATATCTCTGGTATCTGTTTAAGGAATTCTGGAGCAAATGTGGCTTTCTGTGGGCTCTCCAGACCCTAGCCAGGCTGAAGGATGGATTTGTAGTTGCTCGTTGCATTCTGGATGTGCTTCGTGAAATGCAATTTATTACATGTTGCAGTTTTTCCAGTTGACTTGGTTGCAAAAGACAGCAGATTTGGGAAAATAATCCTATAAAATACATGGTAGAAAGAGCAGCTCTTGGGTTAATTTCAATCTTTTGACCCCACCTTCTTCCATGGTCCCATCACAGGTAGTATCAGAGCAGTAGCAGCTCCCTAGCACCAGAAGGCTCACTACAACAGGCTGCAAAATTAAAACGTGTCCAGGAATATGCAATGAACTGAATTGTGGCCTTAATTCATGGCCATAATGCAGTGCCACACAAGAGAAATATTGTTCCTGATGGGCAAAGGCATTATGAGTACTAAAGTCATGGTGCAAAACTTGCTTAACGATTTGCATTTTTCCCCCCTATGTTACAAAACATAGTTGAGCAGATGGACGCAGCCAGCTGTACATAGAGCTTTGGGGAGTACTGAGGGGGAAAAAAAAGAGGTTGTTGTTAAGACAAATGTAATAATCTCCGTGATAATTAGTTTAATTTAGATCCCTGCATCCGATTCATTTCTGACTAACCTTGTATGAAGCCTTTCTTGCCTCTCTGACGAGTCGGTGGATGTGGTTTGATTACAGTCCCCGGTTTTGTGCTTACGGATTGCTCACTGATCGCTGGCATTTTTCATTAGGCAGTTGCTTTATCGCATTGTTGTTTAGAGGGGGAGTAATTTGTGTTTTCTAATTAATTTAATGCCAGTCACATTTTGCAAGTAGCTACAATGAGCCCATTCAAGGGGTTTTAGGTCATATTGACATTGCATGGCAGATGCGCGGGTTTGTTTTGAAACACACTGTTAACTCTGTGATGGCAAGAGCCCATTTGGTAGTGTGGCTGCTGCAAGCGGGAATTTGCACCTGCAAAAAAAAAAAAAACCAAAAAGCAAAACAAAAAAAAATTGGAAGATGCATTTTAAGTGCTGCAGCAAGATGTCTGTATGGATTAAATCACAAAGGAAATACACTGGAAAGAGTGAAAATAAAAGCTGGAGCAGTGGCATTCTCACATTTCAGGCAGTTATTCCCCTGGCTGTAGGTTTGTCCCATGAAAGCCTCTCAACTTTTGTGAACATGTCACTGATTTTGGTTTAAAAAAGGCAATTACAGCTAGTTCTCCAGCAAACTCTAGCACGGACCAACAACACCATGAGATGCAGTGGTCCGTGAGGGACCACATGAGTAGTGGCCTTGGGTGTATTTTCCATTATTTTCCAGCCTTTTTCCATTTCTTTTGGGTTGGAGCAGCTGAAATTAATGACAAACATTGACGGAGAGCTTTGTTCAGTAGCTCATACTTAATATGTTTTAACATTTAATGCTTGCCGATGCTGTGAACTAAATTCCAGTATTCTCCGGACTAAGAAGCCAGCTGCATCTCAGCGTTATCTTTTGTAGGGAAGGCTCAGATTGCTACAAAGCCTCTCCTGGCTCCCGTCGTGCTTTCCACTGAGGGTGTGTGCATGCCTGCGTGCGTCTCCACGCTACCTATTGATTTAATAGGAAAGAGCATCCCTTGGAAGGGAAGAGCGAGCATGTGTGCGCATGCATGTGGAAGGAGCGCGCGCCAGGGACTGGCTCGCTGCACGTTTGCATTTATGATAAATGGGGCCTGTTAGAAAGGCGACTTGCCATGAATGTTATTAGTGCTGCACTCGGTGGGGGTGCTGCACAAATGCCAAGGCCAGCAGCAGAAACACTGGAGTCCAGGCGGGTTTGGTGTTTTGTTATCCCCATATTAGGGATTTCCAGCTGGGTCCATGGAGCAGGCAGCAATTTGGGTGCTTTTTATTATTTTTACCTGTGGTTCTTGCACGTTCAAAGGGAGCACCACCTTAAAACACACTTCTTCCTTGCAGGATTTGCAAAGCAGCTTCTCATAGTCCCTGGGTAAATCTGAGACAGGGGCATGACTTTGAGCATAATAAAGAAAATGCATAAAGTAGAAAAACGTTGCGTGGCATAAATGCCCCATAAATCAGCATCCTAATTGCAAAAGCAGGTTTTGAAAGTCTGAATTACTGGGTGCTTAATGTGGAGGGGAAACCTCTGCCGGGGAGTTGATACTGGTTTCCCAGCGGTGCAAATATGGGATTTCCCTCCATGGGGTTCCCCTCTCCTCATGGTGTGGAAGCTGCTCCATGCTGCAAAACTGCCCTTGAGAAACCATCCCCTACACTCGCGCTTGCTCCTTCCCTTGCATCCCCCGGAGATGGAATAAAAATTGCCCTTTTCTGCGCTGCTCTGGCACCCCCAAGGGCCAGGGCATCAGCAGGGCTCCACTTTCAAGCCACGTCCTCCTGCAATGCAAGCTCGCAGCTGCGAGCTTCAGCTCCTTGCATTTGCACCAAGGCGCTGGCACTTGCAGGAGGGAAAGGTGCTTTTTTCTCGGCAGGATTCACACTGGCGGGGTTGCATTTGCCCCCTGTGTGGCTCTGCTTTCTTTTCCCTTCCCGAGCCTCCCAGAGGCAGAGACAAACTGCCTTTTTTTCTTTTTCTTTCTTTTTTTCTCTTTTAAAAACCCTTTTCTCACCAAATACTCCTTTTTAAAAACCCAACCTGTTCCCCCAAACGCTGCTCCCATTGGTCCGGGGAGGCTGACAAGCCGCCCGCGTCAGGAGGAAATATCCTGCCCTTAATTGCCGGCTAAGTCGCCCCTAATCCAGGGGAAAACGTCCCCCCCAAGCCCCCCTCTCCCTCTCCTCCCCTGCCGGCGCACGCTCTCGCTGCTGATTCGACATGAGCAGACGGGTAACTCTGCCGCGCGAGCGAAACCTGGCATAACTCTGCAGATGGCTGTGTTCGGATGATGCACCTAGGGATCGATTTCCTCCTCTATTTTTTTTTGTTTGTTTTTGTTTTCTTTGTTTATTTTTAAGACACGCTGACGTGTAGACGCTAATGCTTCTTTTTCCCTTCTTGCCGTTTTGCAGGACTGCCGGTCCCGAAGAAGAGCCCCAAGTCGGTGAGCACTTTTCCAATACTCTGTGTGTGTGTGTCTGGCTTGGAGGAGCGTGGAATGAGCTCGGAGGGTCCAGGGTTCCGCGGTACCTCGCAGTGTGTGGATGGGAGGGATGCAAGGGATGCAGCGCGGGGAGAGAGCTCGCTTGCAAGCAAAGCCCGAGGTTTGCTGAGACAGATGAGCAGGTTTACCCACCAGAAAGAGGAGAAAAAAAAAAAAAAAAAAAAAAAAAAAAAGAGGG